GAAGTGGTGTTTCCAAAACCCCTATCATTTCTAAACCTATATATGTTTTCAGTGCACGCGGTAACACTGTCAAATCTCTCACCAGAGTTTCTAGCATGGGCGACCACACTACTGTTGTGGGGGTGGGAGAGAAAAAACAGATTTTTTTCGCCTAGGTTTCTTCCCCTCTTGTCCAGTGATTCTTAAAGCTACGCGTAATTAATTTTCATTCCAAAAAGCCTTTTCATTATTGTATTTCGGTCAGATCTTTGTATATAAGTCACTCTAAAAATAGGGGGCGCCAAGGATTGTTACAGAGTAGATTCTTCCGATCAGAACTCTTCCTTTCGCATAAAAGATGAGATTTTCTAGAATTTTTCAAAGTTTACACTTTTGACAGTTTCATCAGAAGATGCTTAAGTATTGCCATTGGTTCTATGGGAATAGAGTCAATTCTGCGTCATCGTGTGGGTTGTTATTGTCATCATTTAGAAATCTTTTGAAATCTTTGTTATTGTTTGTCTGAGAAATTTCATAATATGGAAACATTTTGAATATCTTTTCAAGATTTTAAATAATTCCCTGGTTTTGTCAAATGTTTGAAATATTCCTGATGTGGAATATGACATTTCCAATAGTTTCTAAAAAATATCTACCATTTTTTACCATTATTTTCTAACATTTTGTAAATAGGTCAGTGGGATGGGAAGGAAGTAATTCACACATCCCTGTGAAGTACAGGCTAGTCTGCCTGGGTGTCAGGCATTGATTCCTTACAACAAAAGAGCCACCAGTGTCCAGCGAAATCTAAAAATATACAGAAGAAGACAGAAGAGTCGGATTAGCACCTACTTTTATGGGGGCAATTACCCACATCTACCATCTGGTTATTTGTTTGAAATATTTCAAATAGTGAAAGAAACACATGGATAGCTCAAATCTATTCTAAATAAAGAGATCTTTGTACAGCCACTTTCAAAATGTTTCAGAAATATCTAATAATATTCAAATTTTAATTTTCAAATTTTTAAGAAATTTACTTTTGTTACTGGGGTATTCTTATTTCTTACAAACATGGAGAAAAAAAGCCACACGGTGACACGGAATTGACTCTAAGCTAGTCATGGCACCAAAAGAGACCGTAAATCAACAATATTTGACATACATTTTATTGTAACTCTTAAACTTTCCATGCTACAATCTTAAAATTTTCAGGATCTTAGGATCAAACAGTTTGCCACAAAGGTCTTTAATTACATCTTTTTGTGTACAAAAGTAAACACATTGTTGCTAATTACGCTAATAAGTACATCTAGCCATAGTCTGTGTAACGCAAACTCTGCCGTCCGCGGCTTTTATAGTGGCCCCTTCCCGCAGAGTTTGTGTAGTCTCCATCAGACTTCTTTTGCGGGGTGAATAAATCATAGAAATTGGCCTAAAAAGGCTCGACAGGGAAATGGAACTTCTCTGGCCGGCTATCTTCTCTGTCCAATTAATACATTACTTTTAAGGCCGATTTCTACGATTTATTCACCCCGCAAAAGAAGTCTGGTGGAGACTACATCCAGCCGGCCCCCGAGGGGCCACTAAAGCCGCGGACGGCAGAGATTTGCGAAAGGAAGAGTTCTGATCGGAAGAATCTACTCTGTAACAATCCTTGGCGCCCCCTATTTTTAGAGTGACTTATATGCAAAGATCTGACCAAGATACAATAATGAAAAGACTTTTTGGAATGAAAATTAATTACGCGTAGCTTTAAGAATCACTGGACAAGAGGGGAAGAAACCTAGGCGAAAGAAATCTGTTTTTTTCTCTCCCACCCCCACAACAGTAGTGTGGTCGCCCATGCTAGAAACTCTGGTGAGAGATTTGACAGTGTTACCGCGTGCACTGAAAACATATATAGGTTTAGAAATGATAGGGGTTTTGGAAACACCACTTCCTGTTTTCATATGATAGGGGTTTTGGAAACACCACTTTTTGTGAACAACATGTTTTCATATGATAGGGGTTTTGGAAACACCACTTTTTGTGAACAATATATGTTTTCATATGATAGGGGTTTTGGGAACACCACTTTTTGTGAACAATATATGCTTTGGAATTATATGTATTTAAGATAAGACCTGATGTGATGTTCTTTGGTCATCGTCGACTACGACGGACGAACAACAACAACATTTAAGATATATATATTGTTTTGAAAAATGTATATGTTTTACAATTGTATGTATTTACTATACATATGTTGTTTTGAAAAGTGTATATATATTCTTATTAAACATATATGTTTTACAATTGTATGTAGTTTAAATATATATATCATATTTTTGACAGTGTTCCTGCTTCGTACAAAATTCAGATATTTACCCAGAGTGCTCTTCGGCTCAGCTAAAATGGCCACATGAGTAACTTATTTATTCATAATCCACCTCAGGGTTTTTACGATTTTGGTTATTCGGGTGAAATTTTCACTCTCCTTAGCGCTCAAGTTTGGTTCAGGATTCTATAAAATTGAGCAAAACTTTCCAACATTTAGAATACTAAAAATAAAACTTTCCCACGTGCAGGTTTTTACCACAAACTTCTATAGAAACAGAACAAAAGCCTCAGGTCGGTGTGCATTGTGCCACGGGCGAGTCTTTTTCCCCTGCACAAAAACAAACAAGACGGTTGAATTCGCCCCTTTTCAACCTTGGTTTGACCTACTTTAAGTTGCCCAAAGCATCTCTCATTGAAAATGGAAGCTTCTTTTAAATTCTAAAATTAGCACAAACAACTCGAGTCCCAAGAAGTATTTTCTGTCGAGTAAAAGTTGAAACTAAAGCTAGCAAAACTCTCTAGGACCACAAGAATTGGATATTTGTGTTTCTACAATAAAGTTAGTTTGACCCTTGCCCTGGGGGGCCAAATTGACAGGGAGGTGGCCTCTGCCAGGCTGGCTTTTCTTCCACAAATAAATAAGTCCAGGCACTGGAAATTCATTTTTGGAAATAGCTGCACAGGAAAAATTAGGGGTGCTCAATAAACTAAAATCAAGAAGAATAAACTTATTATAAAGAATCTGCTGACAGAGTTTCAAGCTTTGAAAAATTGAGATGAACTCGAACTAAAAAGGTAAGCACTTGCCTTATACTTAAAGATGATTGAAAACATCTCAGTCCTAAGCAGGTTTCTTTAGTTCAAGTCTCGGGCAAGTTCTAAGTCGCAGGCAATCTTAAGATATGGCAAAGTGTCAACTATAACAGCCTCCTGTTAGCATTCTAAACATGGGCCAAAATCTCCAGGAAAATATGTTTTTCTGACAACCACAGAAACCCTCTTCCCTGGAAAGGTCTTGAAGAAACTCGCCCTCAATTCTTCAAGGCTTTTTCTCCGTTTCCGGGCACTTGACATTCCCGGGCGCTTTCCACCCCAGCAGTTTTGACAAATGTAAATGACAATAGCGATACGGGAAGAGAAATGTCGTATTTGGGCATGCGGGGTTTGGTGAAACCTCCCACAGCACGTGTTGCGACAACCCTTAATGCCTGGGAGCATTTCGGGATAATTTGGTTAGGTCAGAATTGATCGAACAATCCCAGTGATTGAGTCCCCTGTTATAACTAGGGCTGCGCAAGACATCTATAACACAGTCTTCAAGGAGCCTTTCTCCCGACAATTCCTTAACCCACAAGAGCCAAGAAACTGGCTGAATATCTCCTTGGAAGTCTACTAAGACATTTGAAATATTGTCTTCTTCAAGGAACCATTTTATAGAAAATTTCTTAACTCACAACAGCCAAGAAACTGAATATCTCCTGGTTACATCTAGAGCTATGGAAGTCTACTAAGACATTTGAAATATAGTCTTACGTTCAAGGAACCATTTTATAGTAAATTCCTAAACTATCAAGAGCTAGATATCCAAGAAACTCAAGACTATCTTAACTACAACTAAGAAATTCTGGGAGAGCAAATTAAATATAGTCTTCAAGTTGCTATTTCATTTAAATATAGTCTTAAAGTTGCTATTTTATAGACAATTCCTTAACTCACAAGAGCAAGACATCTAAAAAACTTGCTGAATATCTTACAACTAGAGTTTTGAATTTCAGCCGACGGAAATAAATTCCGTAATTTCCACAAAGGAACGCCAAGAAAACTGTCCGGAAAATCTTTCCAGCTAATCTTAAAGTCAGTCTAGAAATTATTTTTAATTTACCAGGCTTGGAGCGAAATCTTGCAATGACAGTTTGACACAGGGGTAGTTGTTGGCAGGATAGTGTAAAATGTGGGATAGTGGGACGGTATGTTGTGTGTGTGTGTGTGTGTGTGGTGAGCGACACAAACCACAATGTTAGCTCTAGCACTGGGCATCTGAACTCACAGGAAAAAGACACTGGTAATGTGGCTTCCCTAAGTGTAACAATTATTGCTTGCAAATTATGACTATGTATGATTGAAATAAACTTATAATAAAGACACCATCAATTTGGTGAGAAGCATACTCTGTCAAATGTGTGAAAAAAAAGCCTTGTGTATATTGTAACCTGTTGACTATAGTACAGTGCTAATAAATCCAAACTTGACAATTCAGACAAGGACTTCTTTCCATACATTTGTTTCTCTTGCTTGCATGGACTAGCCAACATAACCAGAAAAATAACAAGAATCTTATGGCCACAAATAATTTTACACATCCTAAACTTGGTTTTCTCTGACTCCTTGCAAATAGTACCAATAGTAAAAGCTAAGAGTGAGACACCAAACCCCTAAACCAAACTAGACTTCCTAAGAGGTCTACATGTTTTAGTCAGGACAAAACTAGAACAGGTATAAGCCACGAATCCAATATGTTATCAAACTATCTTAGGAAATTTGCCGCTGACTGGAAGCATGTACAACTTCTGAAGAAAAACTTTCTTCTTTCACACACAAAGAAACTTCAGAGCAGCCTCCATTGGGATAAGTTGTAACCCAATTCAACTCTGAAAAAAAATGTTTCTTAAAGATTTTCAGAAGAAAAAACGTGAACTTACCGGAAGTTGAAGGGGGAGGGGGGTAGAGGGACGGTGAGGCACCAGTTTCTGTACTAGAATTTACGGATTCTGCAAAAACACAAGAAAACATGTTATAATTATTAAATAATGACAACACGACAGCCACAACTTTGTTTTATGCTTTTTGATACTTCATAGGAGCTAACACTAACAGTCAATACAGCAAAATAAAAATCTAAAATGTACATATAAACCCATGGACCAGTGCAGGTTAGGTGCAGGTAGACATCAGAAATACCTGCACAGCCCCAATTTTACCTGCACTAAAGTTAGTAACCGACCTGCATATACCCAGTACATGGACCAGTACAGGTTAGGTGCAGGTAGACGTCAGAAATACCTGCACAGCTCCAATTTTACCTGCACTAACCTGCATATACCCAGTACATGGACCAGTGGTTAGGTGCAGGTAGACATCAGAAATACCTGCACAGCTCCAATATTTTACCTGAAGTAACCTGCATATGCACATGGTATTTCCACTTCCAGCTGTCAGCATTATGTTTTTCAAACCGTAAACCAGTAAATTAAATTGGTGTGGCCTAAACCACAGACTGTAACACAAATTTGATAAATATGTGACCAGGGTACACCCCACATTTTCTATGGTTGGCCAGGCCCAACGATTAGCATACATTAACTTGCTAAATGGTGCAAAGGTCATTCTTCAACCTAACAAACCCTGACCCCAAAACCAAGGTCTTCCAACAAGACTCCTTGGTTGTTTTAGGTGCTTCAAAACATTCTTACCTCTGCCAAGGTGTCTTGGAAGGTGGCTAGGGTTCACATGGGTTGGTAGGTTTGTGAACAAAGTAAATTAAAACAAATGTACAAACAACGATTGTCTAATTTTTCATTTGTGGGTAGGGTTTGAAAGATGCTGTGCATTTTGGCTACTTCACCATACTTAAATGGATATGCATTTTCCTTCTTCATTTACAAAGTAGAAAAACTATCACTTTTTAAGTTACTTTTGAAGAAGTTAAAAATTAAATATCAGAACATTCATAAACTTTTTTTGGTAAGTAGAGGTGTTAAACTACAAAGTTTCTAGAACTAAATTTAAATTATCAAAATATAAACAGTAATTTTTCCAGAAACTATACCAAATTGAACAAAATTTTTTTCAGTATTCAATTTGTGTACTATCTATTATACCATGGAGGTAGAAAAATGAGATTCTCTCTTTTACCTCCATGATTATACTACACCAGTTTTTGCTAAAAAAAACTGTTATGGATTCTTTTTTATTGTTGATGTTTTGTTGTTTTTAGTGTTGCAGAACAGACAACAAAACTTGTCCCAATACACATCCGAAAAAATGGTGTTAAGGTTTCAGCGAAGGATTTTGACAAAGTTTTAGCTGAGTCTGGATTCTTCGTTTTGCACATGCAACAATTGGCTTTGTTTTTCTTCCACTTGTTAAAGATTTCTTGGCAAAGTTGCCAAACCAAATCTTGGCATTCGACCAAAAGTTGAACACTCACAAAGTTCATACCAGCACAAGTTCTTACCGCTAGGACACACTTATTTTTCACAAAATCTGCTTTTCTAGATCTGAAATGAGTTTGCAAAATTCTTTTGTTTGAGTTTTGGCTCCAGCTTGCAATACACATGGTTGTTTAGAAAACCACAGACAGTGTCTGAGAGATTATCTAAATTGATAAAAACCATCTCTGTTTAATTATGGGATTTGATGTCATACTTAGGCAAAAACAACACTCAACCCCTTTCCCTGCATTTTTTCTCTACGTTTTAGCACGAAAACTAGTTTTTAAAAGTTGATGGTAAACAAGTGTAGGTTTTAGACAGGCCGACTAGGCAAGTATTCGAAGTATTAGCGTTTGGTTTGGTTGTCTGGATTTTGTCGTTCACACGATCAAGTCTCGTCAATTTTCCAACCAACAAAAAAAAAGTCAGCAGCAAATTCTTTCTCCACCAACCTTCTGGACTGAGTGTCCTGAGTCTTTCCAACGGATATCTTGAATACGGCGGCGGCGGACTCTCTGTAAGAACAAGAAGCGACAGAAAACGTTTGGTAAAGATGTTGTGTAGGGCTGTGGAGAGTTCTGTCCTTTTTTTTAGCTTCGCGGCCGCGTTAATTGCTAGCTGTCGCGGGGGCATGATAAGGGCCGGGCTTGCTGGCGCCAGCCAGGTCCGGGCATCGCCAATTCGCATCTTCAGACGCGGCTTTCATATTCTAATTACCCGGCCCGTCCAGGCAAGCAAAACAACGCACAACCACACTAAACTCTCCCTCACACAACGGGCTCTACAAAAACCTCTTCTTTCGATCAATTTCAGCTCGCTTTGAGGGTAGATTGGCTCGTTTTGGGGATCGCAAGAGGCAGAGAAATGTAAAGGAATCGGTAATGTTTGGCCCTAATCTAATCAGCACGGTATGATAGCACTGCACGCTAAAATGGGGCCGCTAAGATTCGGTTACGGGCGGGGGAGGAGCCTTCCCAACTTTTCCCCTTTCTTTCTCTGCAAAGCAACAACTTTTCCCCCCTTTTGCGACACGAAAACGCTACTTTTGTTACATTTACTTTGTGGCGAAAATGAATGGATCAATGACGGTGTAGCAAACTACAAAAAAGCTGATAATTAGTCGTCATATTTCCATATTCAGATCAATAAGGGATGTCCACGGTTCAGCGGTGTGCGGTGCCCCCAGCGTGTAGCCCAATGTTTTGGCTGCAGCACATCTATCATTACAAGTTGGAGCAAACTTCGGAAAAGTACGCCAAAACTGTGGCAAACTTCGGCAACAAAAGCGGCAACACGCACAGGAATGTTACAATAATCTCTCCCGGGGCTTGTTTGTGAAATCAAAGGTTGGACCGGGTTTTGAATGGAGGGTAAAGAAGAGGAAAGAGATGAGAGTGTTGTTTTGAAGAAAGGAGCAAAACGTTACCTGGTCCGCACAGTCTTGTGTAGTGGTAGGGGTTACAGCAAACCGTAGGTCCGGAATCCCCGTCTTGTTGTCCGTAACTTTGGCAGCAAATGAGGGTTTTAAGTTGGTGAGGCTGTTGTAGGTCTGGCCACCTCCACAACAGGCAGGTTAGCACGTGTGGAGCGACGGTTCTGCGCCCGATTCTTACGTCGGGCCTGGGGAAGTGCACACACCCCGACTCCAGCCCTCCCCTAGACTCGACGGCCTGCACGAGCAACTCAAGTTGCCGCTCCTTCAGCCTTTTCAGGACCGAGAAAGTTACCGACTTGAGCTCGGGGTCGTCGTCGGGATGTCTGCCTCCACCGCCGCACGGTCTGGCAGGGTCGGAGTCGGCGGCCTGGCCGCAAGTTGAGCCGCCGATCTCGGAGCCGGAACCGCTCGACTCGTCCTCGCCCTCCCCATCGGCGGACCTTCGGACCTGCACCCGAGCTCGCCACAACCGCCGGACTAGGCCCGATCTTCGCGACCGGAACATGCGGTCAGGAGGGCCACAGCACCCCGAGCAACACGCATAGGGACATCCGAGGCACGACTGCGGCCACACGGCGACGTCCAACCCGAGGAAACTACCGTACCTTCCAAGTCGAAAGAGCAAGACCGCTTCCACGGTGGGTGCCCACCCAAGCAGGGGACGACTCGCTCTCTGTCTCCGCTAGGTACCCCGCAGAAACTCCGCTCGCGCGCGCGATCGAGAACGCCAATCCGCAGAACTGACACAGACCCGGGCAGGCAACTTCCTAAGGCATCGATGGGTGCCAAAATCCAGAGATGTTGGGCCCGAATCCGACTACAAGAGGCACGAATCCGCCAAGGTGCTGGCCGCGAACCGCTTGCAACTGCTGTTGAGTGTCTAGACACCGAAAACACGGCCCCAATTTGCACCAGTCCTGATGGCGGCGAGCTGCGCGCTCATTGGTCAGCGCGGCGGCACGGCGTCTAGACGTTTTGGCGCGCTCCGCCGATGGTTGCGCAAATAACAGATCACATTACCGGCGTTAGCGCTGTTCTAAGAGTCGCGTTACACTCCCTCTGAGCAGGGAAAACCCTTTTAAAATCTATAAAATCGCAAAAACTTGAGTTTTGACCATTTAGAGCTTTAAATGAGCTCCGATGGTTGCGCAAATAACAGATCACATTACCGGCGTTAGCGCTGTTCTAGGAACCTAGCGACACTCCCTCGGTACAGGGAAAACCCTTTTAAAATCTATAAAATCGCAAAAACTTGAGTTTTGACCATTTTGAGCTTTAAATGAGCTCCGATGGTTGCGCAAATAACAGATCACATTACCGGCGTTAGCGCTGTTCTAGGAGTCGCGTTACACTCCCTCTGCACAGGGAAAACCCTTTTAAAATCTATAAAATCGCAAAAACCTGAGTTTTCATCATTTAGAGCTTTTAGAATGTCTAATTCTAGTCACAAATAACAGATCACATTACCGGCGTTAGCGCTGTTCTAGGAACCGCGTTACACTCCCTCTGTAAGGGGAAAACCCTTTTAAAATCTATAAAATCGCAAAAACTTGAGTTTGACCATTTAGAGCTTTAAGAATGTCTACTTGTGGTCACAAATATGAAATCTTATAACCAGCGTTAGCGCTGTTCTAGGAACCGCGCAACACCCCCCCCCCTGCACAGGGAAAACTCTTTAAGAGTCTATAAAATCAGAAAAACTTTAGTTTTGACCATTCAGAGCTTTAAGAACTCACAAATATCCGGGTGCGGCAAAATGCTTTCTCCCCGCATACAAACTCCCCTGGCATGTCATCTCTCTATTTGCCCGATTTCCACTCTTTCCAGCCGCCTCCCGAAGCCTGGTAGAGGCTAGCCTATATGCACAATATAATAAAAATTTCATCTTTTAATATTTAGAATTCCTTGAAAACACTTATTTACTAGTACGTCAGATGATGGCGACATGTTTTAACTTTTTCCTACTTGTCCGATTATTTTCATGCCCAAGGAATTGGTATTGTGTTGTCCGAAAATATAAGAAAACGGACACACACTCCCTCCTAATATCTGCTTTAAAAAGTACTAGTAACCGCCAACCGCCTAAAACTGACTTCTAGTCTGTTTCCGATGACCAAAACATGTATTTCTGCCAGATCACATATTTCTGACCCCTGTACCAACGATTGGACGCGCTACCTCAATATTCTTTCTTTCGCACGTTCGCTTGCGTTCCGTTACCATGGCAACGAAGGGTGCTTCTCCGCATGCACGCCCAATAAATGAGCAGGAAAGAAAAGTGTATATCTACTATATGACAAATGTGTTGTGAAACAAAAAGATGTGAATCTGAAGAAATTTAGACAAATCGTTTTGGCGGGAACTTGTCGCCAAGACGCACTGATTGTCGTCTGCGAACGCCGCCTGAGGAAACGGGCTCCGCTTTGACAAATTTATCGAAACAGATATTGTCGCGGCTTCCGACGCTACCCTAGAGGACTATATATATTAATTTCCAGCTAAAGTCATCCAAAGAAACGATCTGTCAAAACCTAAGTCTTTCATTTTCCACTAGTCTCCGAGTAAATCCTTCGTCAGCTAATAGAAATGTGGGTGATTTTCAATTACTCGACAACGGAATCAACCAATTTCGTACCATTAATATCATTTGCTGAAGTTGATATTAGCCTCCGCGCAGGCTTCGCCAAGGCTGCGTATTCTTACTAAAATAACGGTAAATATCATTTATGCAATATCGCATAAAGCCTGCGTTTTTATTGAGTAATGCTAACTGGACACTGTTTCTAACACACGAATGATAAAATTAATAAAGAAAATTGTACACCAGCATGCAAAGATTGTGATCATTTTTTTTTCCTTTCTAAATTCTTTTACGTATTTCACAATTTATTTCTGGGCCGCAGCTAGAGTTTGTATCCAATTTTATAGCTGCAGACACATGGAAGGAACTGTAGTAGTAATATGTAAGTCGGAGGTACCTCAAGATCCGGGTGGTGCCTCATTGATATGCAAATGCACCACCTAAGGAGCCGATCATCATGATCATCATCACCATCATGATCATCATCATCATCATGCCCCCGGATAAGATGATGATCATGATGATCATGATGATGATGATGATGATCATTATGATGATGATGATGATGATCATGATGACGATGATGATGATCATGATGATGATGATCATGATGAGGATGATCATGATCATTATGAACATGATGATGATGATCATGATCATGATCATGATGATCATGATGATGAGGATGATTATGATGAGGATGATTATGATGATCATGATGATGATGATCATGATGATGATGATCATGATGAGGTGATGATCATCATGATCATGATGATGATCATGATCATGATAATGATGATGAGCATGATGATGATGATGATCATCATCATCTCTTGCTACAAATAAACTTACTCCGGAGTAAAAATTTGACTCCAAAACGGAGTAACATTTACTCCGGAGTGATATCTTACGGAGTAATACTTATTCCGGAGTAATATTTTACTCCGGAGCAACACGTTTTTGTCGAGATATGTATATATACATATAGTGGTGCATTTGCATATCAATGAGCCACCACCCTGCACCACCCGGATCTTGAGGTACCTCCGACCTACATATTACTACTAACTGTGTAGGAACACTCCAAGAAGAGGTTTTGTTCGTGTTATATGTTGTTGTTGTTACTTTATAACATATACTTGATATTACTAATCGACCCAAACCACTCCCTGGATCGCAAGGCTACGTCGCATCCTTGATTTCAATTCTACTTGCCTTCTTTGCTTTTTAACAATCCCTCCCACTTAGCCTCTACCAGGCTTCAGAGGCGACTAAAAAAGGAGAAATTGGCTAAATAGGTAACATGCTCTTGGAAGCCGTAAGCTTCGCTAATATGTACTTTTTTCCAGCCGCTTCTGAAGCCTGGTAGAGGCTACCTTCCACTAGTCTCCACCAGACTTCTTTTGCGAGCTGAATAAATCGTAGAAATTGGCCTAAAAGGGTATTAATTGACAAGAGAAGGTAGCCGGCCAGAGAAGCTCCATTTGGCCGATTTATTCAGCCCGCAAAAGAAGTCTGGTGGAGACTAACCTTCCACCACCCCGTGCTTCTAGTGGACTCTCCCTAATTCATGTGCACTGGAAGGTCGGTCCGACGCAGTCAGGGTTGACTTTGATGGCAAATTCGATACTTGCAAGAGACAAGACAATCTTTCGCCGACTGTGTCGGCCCTGTGCTGACACCGGAGACGACACTGCGACAATTTGTCTGCCCGTGTGTCTCCAGTTTCGCCTCCGTTTTCCTTCTTCGGTATCGGCGATATTGTAATTATACAGACGGGATGGCGGCCGGCTGGGGGAAGGACTTATATCACTTCTTCCTGGGCACAGCAACTGGCTAGCTGCCATGCAAACATCATGACCATGGTATGCTCAAAACATGGGATAAAGACACGCACGCACACAGACACAGGCACACACATACACGACACATACACAGACACAAACTCGCACACACACACACGCACGCACACGCGCGCGCGTATATATGTACGCACGCACAGACACACACACACAAATACGCACACACAGTGTGACACACACACCACATATACACAGCACACACACACCGTATGATACACCACACACACACAAACACACAAACACACACACACACACACACACACAAACAAACACACACACACACACACAAACAAACACACACATACATACACAGTACATCAGTACACACACAAACAGCACACACACACACACAAACATAAACGCACACACAATCCGTATAATCCATCAATAATATTCGGCCAATTTATCTATACCAGCTTTGTGACAAGCTTGAGTTTCGTACCTTATATATGAACTTGAAAAAGCGACATCTAGCGGTTGAAACCTCTCCCAACGCAGCGCTCTGTCCTGAAATTTACATTCACATTACAGCAAATACAGAATCTACCAGATAAGAACCAAACGGTCTGGGCCATTACGCCAGCAAAATAACATCCACTTTGGTCCACGGCCAAAGTCGTAATTCTCTACTGAACTGTTTGACGTCATCCGCCCTTGTTGTGGCGCACAAGTGCACTTGTCACTATTTGCTACTGGGACAACACGGCGTCACTTGCAGCCATATCTAGATACCCTTCTATTTGATATACTCTGGACCTGCACGGCCCATTTCGTCGTATCAAAACGGCGTATCTCTGGTAATAATTGTTTCCGAATCATTTCGGTGCTGCAAAAGAGCCAACGTATTCCACAAGCAAGAGCTGCGTAGCTGGAAAATTGTTACTGGAAGGACCCAGAGCGATTTTTAGGATACCATCCACAAAATAAAGGACTCATCTTGGGGCTTGTTTCTGCAGTTTAAAAGCCCCAAATATGAAATGCCAATCAAAGATTGTATTGTTCAGAATATTTCCAGTTGTGTTGCTCTGAAATCCCATTGGATGCCTTTAAAAATAACGGCGGCCCTTCCCCTGAGAAAACTCGTCCTAGCCTCCTGTGCAGGCTCCGGGGCGGGTGGAAATTTTGATACAGCGTTTTGAAGAGTTCTTTCAATAGCCGGCCATGGGCGGAATGGAACCTTCTCTCGCGGCTGGTTGTAGGATGACCGGCTATCACTGTGGCCGGCTATCAATTAAAAGAACGCGTCAAAACTCTTCGAAACGCTGTATCAACATTCCAGCCCGCCCTGAAGCCTGGAGGAGGCTAAACTCGTCGAAACGGTGGCGCATGTACTTTGCACGACTCCCGCCAACAATAGCCGGTAGTTTGAAGATAAGGCTGACGCCGTGGAGTGCTTGCCGAGGACTCGTGATGGTTACCCGACTGACCTTTCGGCTACACAACCAGCAGACAAGTGGATCGCCTCTGATTGGTCCATTCTAAGGACCCCTTCTCCCATTGAACCGTCACTATTGAGCGACCG